AGATAGCCCGAGAGAATGAGAGAGAGAGAGCGAGAGAGAGCGAGAGAGAGCGAGAGAGAGAGAGAGCGCGAGAGAGAGAGAGAGAGAGAGCGCGAGAGAGAGAGAGAGAGAGAGAGAGAGCGCGAGAGAGCGAGAGAGAGAGAGAGAGAGAGCGCGAGAGAGCGAGAGAGAGAGAGAGAGAGCGCGAGAGAGCGAGAGAGAGAGAGAGAGAGCGCGAGAGAGCGAGAGAGAGAGAGAGAGAGCGCGAGAGAGAGAGAGAGAGAGCGCGAGAGAGAGAGAGAGAGAGAGCGCGAGAGAGAGAGAGAGAGAGAGTGTTCTGTGCGCGTGTGTGTGTGTGTGTTATGCGCTATACAAATGCTATTTAAATGTATTACTAATATTATCTGAGAGTCTGTATAGCTCTCTGATATTATTAATATTATTATTATTAGATCTAAAAGACCGTAAGCTAAAATACAGTAGTTGTAGCAGTCATAAAAATGGTTCTCAGGGGAAGTCACTCCCGTAAAAACACATGGGTTACGAAAGTTGACTGTGGCGTTGGACAAGGACAGAGTGCCCGAGTGTCGCCTCTGAGCCCTCTGCATTTAGAAATCTAGACTAATTCTAGATCTAGAATCTAGGATATTTTTAGGTCTTTTTGTTACTTGCACTTTTAAACTATCATACGTACACAATGAGTTGGAGGCTTTCAAGGCTGCAAACATTATCATGCTTGTTGAATCGAAATACTTCACAGGTAGGCCTATTCTAGTATAGCCTCTATGGCCTATGGCTATGCTATGGCCCTATGATGGCATGGAACTTTTCTTGGTGATCTTAATTCTTATATGAAAGTGGCTATTTTCACCCGCCCGGAAGTTCTCGCAAGATCAACTCATCCCCTCTTCTCTCTCTCTCTGTCTCTTTCTGAATACTGTCTATCGGTGTGGACGATCAAATTGACCAAAACAAAGTTAAAACGAAGTGGCTAGCCGTACTTAGATATCTAGGTTTGGCCCTATCGACTCAAGCCTGTTAAGTACACAGGTCTCATTAGATCTAGATCTAGTAATTATTCAGGTTCAAATACATGCAAGTCAGTAAGGCACCTTTGATTTTGTCTGAAATACAAATACTTTAGGCATTGCAAACTAAAAATTTCATTTACAATTCAGCCATCAATATTAAGTACGGCTAGCCTTACAGTCTAGCCGTACTTATCTTAGGCCCTATTAACATTAGAAAACAGGAGGTTTAAAATACATGCACTGTCATTAAGGCACCTGGTTTCGTCTCAAATACAAAATTACTTTAGGTACTGTACACTAAAAATGTATAGTACAATTCAGTAGGCCTATTTTTTGTAAATGGTCAGTCTAGCCATCATATTAAGAATAAGTATGGCTAGACTGCGAGTCTAGCCGTACTTAAGTACAGTCTAGCCGTCATTAAGTACGGCTAGCCTCTTCCAAGTTAAAAAATGATGTTAAAACACAAAAGTAAATTAATTTGGTTGTCTACAAAGATGCTACGGCTATTTAAATTTTCGAATCGAGCCGAACTACGCGGGTCGCCATTTTGTTTTGCCCGGAAATTCTCGTGCTACTCCTCTCTCTCTTTCTCTCTCTCTCTCCACTGCCCACAGACAAAATTGTACGCTTTTAGTAGGCTACAGTTGTAATGGAACATTTGTTCACGGCACAGAATTCTACAATTTTTCTGTTATCACAGTGTAGAATTCTGTGGTTTAGGGTGAACGCAAAATTTGGTGAACGCGCACCGGGTGAGAATAGCCACAAGACTCGCCTGCACTATTCTCACTCCTGGTGAGAATAGAGGTGGCCTTCTTATATATCTATATAGTACATTCTAGATCTAGATATCTAGATCTAGATCTAGATTAGACCTATCTAGATTTAGATCCCCACGGCCCACACAACAAGATAAAAAAAATTAAACCTGTGGTCTGTGGCGGAAAGACAGAGGTGGTGGAAGTAATGATGATGCTTATCCGGCGATTTTGTAGTTTTGTTCGTTAAAGTCAAGCAGGGGGGTTTCAGGGGGGCTTGCCCCCCTGACCTAAAAAAAATATGGAGGTGGGGGGGTTCAGGGGGGCATGCCCCCCTGAATTTTATCCTAATTTGATGTTTTGCAGTTAGGTTGCGTCCCTGCTCTTTGTGTGGCCTAATTCAAATAGTATTTGGTCTTCAAGACTTTTGGATTTCTTCTCTGGATGTAAACAAATGGATCGTGGACTTTAACGAACGGAACTACAAGATCACCGCTTCTCCTTATAGTAATAGTGGTGGTGGAAAGGGAGGGACTTCCGTAACAAGCCACCACCCCATCAAACACAATTATAAAAAAAAGGCCTAACCCTAACCCTAACCCAAACCCTAACCCGAACCCAAACCCAAACCCTAACCCTACCCCTACCCCTATCCCTAGATCTACCCCTACCCCTAGCCGTCAATTCTGCTTTGTCTTATATTTATAGTGGTCGCTCGTTACGGAAGTCCTCCCGTGGAAAGACCCTGAGTTGTCGGTTAACGTGAACTTAGACACTGTCATTGGGTACATCGAATGAGAGTGTGTGCAGTCCTTTGACTTTTGACACAATTACACAGTCCTAGTAGTAGGCAATTGTAGTTCTAATTCTGGTTTTACGTAAAATCCCCCGACGACATTTATATAAATGTAACCTCTTTACTCTCAATAACTCACTTAGAAGCTGAATCTGAATAAATAAACGAAGTGACTATTCGGACTCGAGTCCGAATATGAAAAAATGTTATTCGGACTCTGATTCTTGTCCAGCATGACAACACTTCCGACTTCCTGTGACTCGTGACTCCGGCTTCCTGTCCTGCCTCACTCGTGACTCGCCTCAGACTTTGTAGAGAACGGGATCACTTCGGGAGCCGAGTCTTTATCTTATGATGAATTTGAGGCTGGCCTGAAAAGTTATTTATAAAAGCGCTTCTAATAAATATTTATTTGTCAAGAGGTCATCAGAAGCAATTAAAGATGGCTCGTTAGCGTGTGTCGGGGTCGGATGGGCGGCCTGCACACGTGTGGCTGTGTGTGTGTGTCGGGGAGGGGGCATTAGCGGTCCGGGCGTTGAACGTCGCATAAGCACCAGTCTTTTTTCCCTCGGCAACTGATCATTATTACAATAATAAGCTAGTCTTGACATAGATCTACGTAATTAATTGTGCGCTGGTCTATGGAATCAAAAGTTGCAATATGCTCGGCTCTACACAACTGCACAACTTTTTCTTGGTAAACAATCGAGATGACACAGGCTTGTGTATTTGAACGAATTGGAATCGGTCTTTTTTTTTACACAGCTCATAATATGCAGGCATTTCAGGCACTACTTGTAACTTGCTCAGTGCATGTAAATATATACACAAAACCTCGTGTTTGCTATAACGCTATAACGAACACTGGGATTCAACGAGATTTTAGGTCAGGCCCAATGACCTCGTTGAATCCGAGTTCCACTGTATAGAGTAGAGTAGATATTTATCTCCAGGCAAATCGCTGTTGTCGCAAAGAGACGTGGTGGCTTTAAGACGAGGAGTCTCCTCGATCGAAAGAAAACTTGACGATAGATTGGATAAAGGACCAGTTACACGTAACGATAAATTGTACAAAAACTGGACGATCTAACGATCATACGATAGAATCTAGATCGTTAAGTGTAAGTGTAACCACAAGATTGTACAAAATTTGGATGATTGAACGATGGTTGGGAGACTCTGTCGAGAAATCAAGCGTGGCTTGGTATTTTCTGTGCAATCACGTTCAGATTTGAGGGAGACGCGCTATGACGAAGATTCATTTTGAAATTTGCCGCCGCGCAGAATTAAGCTCAGGACTCAAAATTTTTTAAATAATTGCTGTACGTCAAAACTGATTTCATATTCGGAATCAGCTTGGCTCTGGACTCCCAACCAGGGCGAATATCAATAATAATTGGCAGGGGTCTGGGGGCCGCAAGAGGGCCCCTGAAGCTGAAGAAAATTTGCAATTGAGGATCTAAAATTTGCCCTCTTTGGGCTAAAATAAAAAAATTAAAAATGATTCGACTTACAGACCAAGGAAAATCCCTATTGAACTTTAACCAGGCCTAAACTGGTAAAAGGAAAAGTAGGCCTATTCTGTTGTTACTATACTTCGTTGGTAAAAGCTCCTCTTGGGGACAAAACCAGAATGTGCATGATTCATCACTACATAAAAAATAAAGCAACAAATTATAATTATGGGGAACAATTGTTGGTCATTAGGGAGGAGGAGAAGAAGAGGAGGGGAAAAACCCCAAAAGAAAACAAAACAAAAAAAAAACTTCCGGGACCGGGGTTCGTTCACACACTCATAAAAATAATTGTATGACTTCAGACGCAAACACG